ACACTTACCAGTTTTGCGTGTTTTATTTAAAAAAAACTACGATTATAGATCTTTTTGACTTCTTGTAGAAAAAAGTGATCAAAAATTTGAAGTTACAGAAGGTTTACAGATACGAACGCGTCAAAAACAATGTTTCAAATAAGCTCTTTGATCAAGCACACTATTTACACGCAACTATTACTTTACTGCACTTATTTATTAAAAGCCAAATAAGTCAAATTAACATTTTCATTGTTCTAAGGCTGTTTCATAAAATAATTTCGTCTGGACTACAAAGTTGAGGTCTAAAACCTTTTGTTCACAAACCTTTATGTAACATACTTTGCTGGAAGTTTACATAAGTTGGTTAACTAAGGTCAACTAAATTGCGGGTTTTTTAAGCAAATTACAAATTCTGCATAACTCAGAAGGATTTTTAAGGTTTATAAAAACCCTTTTTCTGGCCAAGTTACGATCAAAAATTAAAAGTGCAAATTGAATGTTAAAAAGGGATTCTTAGTGATGTTGGAAGAACTGTGGAAATAACTTTGAAATATGCTTCCGTATTTTCTTTTGGCGAGCAGAAATGTCTTTTTTTTCATTCAAGGAGGTGAACGGTATTGACAGGAGGTGCTATCTTGTTGTTGATGTTGCTGTTTTTTCAATTAAAAGTTGTTTTTAAATCGAAATATTCTTGAATAAAGTGCAGGCTTTAGGTTATTTCATTTGTCCTGTTTTTTGATGCGGTAATGCAATTTTCTTTTTTACTTTTTTTCCGGCAGGCAGGGAACGGAGCGGGCGAGGGGATAGGGAGTACTGAGTTACTGAAATGACCATTCCGTAACTGTACTGAAGCATATGAGTAGCTCGGAAATCAAAAAATAAAATTAAATGAGTGAAAAAAGAGGAAATAAGATGTGAATAACAAACTATTCAGTTTAATAGTCGACTTTAAGGTGGCGATCAAAAAAATCGGTCATGCATCGGCCACTCCAACATTGGCAAGAAGAACGTTGCGAGAAATCCGAGTTCTTCGATACATCAGCCACCCAAATATAGTTAACCTTAGAGATATTTTTAGAACCCCTGGAAATTTAGGTAACAGTTTATAATTTAACAATTTTGATTTATAGTATCTAGAAGCTGCTGAAATCCTTTATTTTAAAGTTTGTCTGATTTGTGTCTAGGTATCAATGTGTACTTAGTTATGGATTTAATGGAGGGCAATTTACATCACGTTATCCATGGCGGGGGACCAATGGAGGATGAACTTATTGCACACTTTTTAATACAGCTATTAAGAGGACTTAGGGTAAGTTTCTAAAATAGCTTGTTTTTAATTTTGTCAGTTTGGGGTTTAAAGACTAAAATTTTAATTTTTGGTATTTCACTGTACAATCCAATCTCTACCGCTTTGCTAATGCCTGACATTTTCACATTACTGTCCAGCTTCTAAACCCGAAAATCAAACAGTTACTAAGATTTTAGTATTTACATACTGCTGGCATTGCTCATCGTGATCTGAAACCGTCGAATTTATTGGTAAACAGTGATTGTCACTTGCGAATTGCCGACTTTGGTATGGCTAAACTGGCTATGAGAGAACATATAGAAGAGGCTGAAGAGCATTGTTTTTATATGACACAACATATAGCAACCCTGCCTTACAGGTATCATATTTGTTTCATTCAGAAACGACTTTGATGCGATAAGTGCTAATTCTACTTTTCTTTTATTAGCTAATTAGCTGATATTAACAGATTTTTTCCTAACAATGATGTTGCTTGCATACAATACACCTGACCTTAAGGGCCCCAGAATTGTTATTCGTTATGCCTGAACATTCAACAGCAGTTGATATTTGGGCAGTCGCCTGCATTTTTGCTGAGATGATTATTCGCCGTGAACTTTTTCCTGGCAGAAGTGTTAGCGGGCAAATTAAAATCATCGTTACAATGCTTGGTGCTCCTTCTGAAAAGGTTTCTTCTGCATGCAGTACCCGTTTAATTTAATGAATTGAAAGTTAATGCCAATCATTCTTGTATATTTTTTAAAGCTTCCGTGATTTTACTGATACTGTATAGGTTTATGTAAAATTGCGCCAGTTAGGTTGTTTCTGAATCGTAACTAATTTTCAGATACTTCGTCAAATTCGTTGTGATCGCACCAGACGACTTATTGAAAATTTTGGAGATCATCCGTTCAGACCGTGGCACGAAATTATTCGCGATTACAGTAACAGTGAAGCCTTGGACCTAATTGCAAAAATGGCCACAATGGATCCAGAAGATCGAATCGACGTACATGAAGCGATAGCTCATCCTTATTTTAAGGAATTTTATCCCAATCTTCCTCCTGAACAAGCTTGCCCATTTAAAGTAGGAGTATCTTTTTGAAATTGTAATGGCAAATTTTTTTCAGATTTGTTATCATGAGTAGAGATTGAAAATGCTGGATTTCAAAGTCTTTCCTCACTGGAATATTACGGGATTTTTTAAGGTAAAAATGGATATGGCTGCAATAGAGACGTTGAGTCATGAAGGTCTTATACAGGCACTAATTAACGATGTACGTTCCGCTGACGAAACAAATTTTTCCCCAAATTCTTCAGAAGTTTCTCTGGAATCTGCAACAACTTCGTCTTCTAAATCTTCTGAAGTACGTTTATTTGCTTTTAAAGATTTAGAAGCGCATATTTCTCAAAATAACGAAAGGGCAGAAAAGAGAAAAGCAAATTTTGGCTGTTTTCTATAAAACACTTGCAGATTTCCGGATGTAGCAGTGATGTGCAAATGACATCGAGCATTGCATCAACGCTTTCGGAAGAGGATGGGTTATAATTTTTGGGTTTTAAGTTTGTGGTGCAGTCAGCTTTCAAGGGAAGAAGAATGCTATTGGTTTCTGGAAACGCGGGGACAGCAATAACTGTTCCATTTGCTGTTGAAATTTTTTTTTCTGGTAAAGGTGCTCCAAGAATTATTTTTTGACATTTTTTAAGTGAATGCTTCAACTTAGTCTAACTTGACGCTTGACCTCATACATTAGGACCAGGATTCAAAATAACTCAGGTTATGGATGAATAGTGAATTGTTGACAGCTAAAAAAATGCATAATGCGCCACTGCTTGTAATTTTTGCTCAACTGAAGAGTGTCCAGTGTGTTGCTTTGTACGTGTGTTAGCACTCACTTTTTTCTTCTTTATGTTATAAATTTATTTTATCTGATGTATAACTGGCTGTTAGACGAAAGAAGGAAAGTAATTAACAGTTGCTTAGTCATTTGATCTCTTAGTAATAACATACTGTCACTAAATTCCTGATCGGAGTAGTCCCTAATCTAATCATTTTTGCTGCGTATTTCATGCCAGACGGGAGAAAAAAAGTAAATATTTGTACGTTAGGGACTTCTTTTTTTATTCATTTCAGGTCAACCACTGACTTGTCCCTTTCTTATATTAAGCTTCATGACCGCATATAAACTTTTATTTCCTGATTTTTGAAAATTGTTTAAGCCTGATTTCAAAATTCGTTACTTTCTTCACCACTTGGTGAATTTTCAGTGTTATATATTTTTGATATTCAGCAATTGAAAATTATAGGAAATTGGAGTTTCGGCAAAGGCAAGTAATTGGGAAAAACAGTAAAGGCATTGGATTTCTTGATTTAAAGCAGTAGTGCAAAAGAAGGGTTAATACTGGAGTTTCTTCTTTCTTGTTTGCCAGAAAGACTAAATCTGTCATACTTTGTGTACTGTAAAGTCTTATTTATTTTCAGTATGTTCTATATGTGTGTTGTGTGTGCCACTTGATCACTTTTCGCCATGTGCTTCTTTATGAGTAATTATCGTTGTTTTATCTGAATCTATGAAAGGTTGATTTTTTTATTTTATTTTGTTGTCTGCTGTAATAGTGTTCATATTGAACTGATGTTTGTGCATCAATTTTCTGTTTCCTTTATTGTACAAAGATGATGAAAATCTAAAGAAAACGGACGTTTGCGATTAAAAGTAAAGCCGTTTGGTCGTGTCACATAGATTAGATTGTGTTATAGTGAGCAAAATTTAATACCTTTTTTGGTAGACAGCACAGTGTTGTTGACGGAATAAGCGTCTGGTCGTTTCTTTGATTGTATTTTAGGTAAATATTATGGTAGTTTTGGGGCAGGTGGAACGATGGTAGCATAGCCACAGTGGCAAAAGGTATCCTTTTAGAGGAGAAGCATAAATATTCTGATAAAACTGTTTTTCTATAAATTTTATTGAAAGGACAGATTAGTTTTTTGCTGGAAGACTGTTTTTCAAAGCTGCTACGGTTCTCGTGCTGCACTACACCTAAAGTTTCGCTAACATTGAGTGTGGTTTGGCTGTAATTGGTAAACGCTTTGGTTGTATGATACCTTTGAAATATACAAAGAATTGCTTTCGGAATAAGCAATTTATATAAAGCTTTCTTCGGATATTTCAATTCAATACAATTAAATGGGGTCATACGTGTGAATGTGTACATTTCATGGCCAGTGGGTTTCTCCTGGTCGCCAAGTGAACTATGGAATGGATCGAAAGCACAAAAGCACTTCAAAATTCCCCAGCTGTTCGCCAAGTTTGAATGATAATTATTCAAAAAATTACCAGGTTCGCTGTAATGTAAATGCTGCAATCAGCGCTGATCGCGTGGTTCCCCGTAAATAAAACGCTTTCTTTGAGAAAAACATTGTTGGTCTGGAAATTTAAAATGCTATTAACATCTAGCCAAAAGCAGCTGAAGAAAACACCGTAACATGCTTCACTTGTCACTTAAATTTGTCTGATTAAGGACTTTTAGTGGCATCAGGAGCAAAAAAGCCGTATGATATTAAGGATGACAATTGAAAAAGCATTGTTAAGACACCTACAATAGCCTTTGTATTTTATTGGGAGTTGACATGGAGCTTGTCAAGAGCTGCAGTTGTTAAAATAACTTTTTATAATTTATACGACTACACTTTGTCATGAAATGTGCAACTATGCACGAAGGACAAAAGCTAAAATTTTTCACTGTTTATTGTATTTTTCTTCTATTGTTGTTGTAAGCACAAATAATACAAGTGATTTGCCTCTTAGTAATCACTGCATCATCAATGTTTTGAGATTTTGCTCTAAAATTGTCTCTCTACAATCTTTGAATACCCTTCTAATATTCTCGGTATCAACGGCTGTTGTAAAGTGGTAAAAAAATGGCCGTCGTTTTTCACGCCTGCTTTTCTCAAATTTATCCACCAAGAAATATTGAACATCACGTACACTACGATGATCACCAGTAAAATCAGCGAAGTACTGACGTATGTCCGACTTAGGAACCTTTTCTGCAACAACACTTGACTACGTCAAAAACATCCACGGCAAATTAGTTTTCACTTAACTACCTTTTTAAATTACTTCTAAACTTACTTAATCAGATGCATAGCACTAAGAATGATAGCAAAAGTTTTGATTTAATGTTTAAAAGAATGAAAAATTTGTAAAAATTCTTACTTTCCAACAAATCGCTTTTGTTCATAAATAGTATCACAGAAACATTAGCGAAAGACTTATTATTCACAATTGTTTCAAATATTGACCGAGATTCTACGACACGATTAGTCCGCCGATCTTCTAATATAACCTGAATAAAAGATTGAAGTTTCAAATATTTATTGTATTGTTGTTTGGGATTACGTAACTGTAAAGTCTAATATAGCAAGTTTTACATAACAGTGTAAACGAAAGAATTTTAAAAAAAGGTTATAAAAATTTACTTGATCGTACTCGCATGAAGCTACCATAAATAAAATACTCATAATATCCTCGAAACACTGGAACCACTTTTGCCGTTGCGATCGCTGACCCCCAACGTCGATGAACCTGATGTATGTGAGTAAAACTCAGCAGAAATGTTGCTTGGTTTACAATGAAATTTAATCAGCGAACATAAGCGCAGTTTTCCTGTATAATTCCGGATAGTGGAAATTCATAGTGAATTTTATTTTATAAATGGCGACGATACCAAAAAAAAAGTGCTTCACTACCACTTTCTGGCAGAGCTGACTTTGTTGTCAAATACCTTAAAGTTTTTTGTTTGACATGTTTAAAATATATTTTAATTTGAATTAAGTTTTCTCACTTTTTCTTCTCAAAACAGCAACTCTGAAACAATATTTTACTTTGAGCAAAACACCAATATTCAGTTTGCATCCTTACCTGAAAGGTATCTTTTGGATTTCAAACGTATGCTCCGTAATACCCCTTGTAGCCTTACGACAAAAAAGAATATCTCGGTTAGTAGGGTAGAAATCTGGCATCGCTATTCGGTTGATGTGTTCGAAGAAGTAAATACAAGAGTCTGACTGAAAAATGTTTTAATAGTTGTACTTTCCCATCAACTGTAACGAATTAAAAGTGCAAGGGGAAATAAATAATCATATAAGCGAAATGAATCTTTCTGATTGCAACTGTAGTGAAACTTGCTTCAGTAAAATATGATAGAATTCAAATATTCACTTTACCCTAACACATTTCGAATTTGAAACTCAAGTTTGTTAAAATTATGAAATTTTTGGTTTAAGTATATAATTTTTTTTATTTTGATAAATTATTTATTTATAAATTATTTATACACTACAGATGAGAAATCGAATGACTAAAATTTGTGGCGGTAGGGCTTTTAAACACTGACAATTTGAAAAAGATTCCGTTGTTCATAAGTTTGCTTAATTGCTTGATCATCCCATAAGTCACGAATAAGTAGAGCTACATCAGAAAACGTTGGTTGATCAATACCTTTCATCAAATCGGTTGCTGTGAATCTAGAAACTACTTAGTAAGGATATTAAAACATTTCAAAACTTATCAGTAAATTTTATTTAAATTTACTATAGGTAACAAAGAGTAAACTGTAGAATAAGAATGGTAAAAATTTCCTAAAAAAGACAAAAAAGTAAAAAAAAACGTAAAAAAGTTCCACCACTTAGCTTTTATCTAACAATTGGCAAATCCTGTGCAGAAACAAACTACTTAGGTAGACGCTTAGTGTTTTTACGACAGCAAAAGTTTACCTCATCACAGCGTCAACATGCCGATTACGTCTCGGGTCTTCCCACGCAAACCCGAGTTTCTGTCTGGCATCGAGCAACACTCGCATAGCTGAGATCACATTCTGAAACATTTCATGAGAACAATAAAAATCTACAAGACAGAAAAACTTCATTATCTTAAACCTAAAAAAACCTAAAGAAAATGTTTAAGTTACTGTTACCTGCAACCCAGAAACAAAGACCAACCTGATATATTTGTTGCCTGTAAGCTCTGACTTCATCGGCTGTAAATTCGCCCTTACCATGAATTATCACCATCTGTTTTATAAATGTGGATTTGCCAGATTCTCCAGAGCCAAGCAGTAAGATTTTTACCTGTAAACGCATTAAAATAAAAACTGTTTTTGCCATTTATACATCCTACAGTAGGCACCAAAGAGTAGTATAGCACTGTCAACTTTACTTCTTCTAGAAAAACGTAGTAAAACAGAGAGTTGAAAAGTAGAAATTGCAAGTACTTGACGGCGAAGCTGTTTCTTCTCTCTCCGAAGTTGTCGTTCAATGTTTCGCGAATGATCATCATCTCCTTTAAAGCAGCAAAAAAAATTGTGCATTACAAAAGTAAGGAGAGATATTCAGTTTCTGCACTGCTTAACGCTATTCTTGTAATTTTCAATAGCTTATATTGCAGATTACTGAGACGTGATGATCTAAAAAGTAATTAATTAAGAGACAAAACTAAATTTTGCAAGTTAATAGAGTAAAAAGATTTGTGTGTATACAAAAGAAAAATTTAATTACAAACAATATTTATGCTATTTACCCTAATTTTACAAAGCTGCCAACATTTAAATGTGATAACTGAATGTTCAGATAAGCAGGCGCCTAGAATGTACCATCAGTTCTAACGTGAAAAGGCTGAAGATTAATTTTACGTAGCTGACTCGTTCAACAGTCACACAAACATTATTGTATTAACAATTGTTCTTTCATATCTTTTAACGGTATTCTACAAGCAAAGATTCAATCATCGAAAACACAGGTTTAAAGTTTTATATAAAAAGTGCTGGTCCGTTTCGAATATAGAAGCGTCGACAAAAGCTTGTTACAAAGCAGCAAACGATAGCTCTAAAGAACACCAAGTTTTGACCTGGAAAAAAAGAAAGTTTAATTACTCTAAACTGAAGCTGCTGGAAACTGCTGCGGTAAAGAGGACGAGTAGTAAAGTTCCGAGGTTCACAAGACTCACGTATACAGCAACAGACAGCATTGTTTGCTTCTTCAGAAATGAAGTTTTAGAAGTAACCAATCAGCGTTCCATTCATTCGTTGCCATTTTCAACATTTCCACTTATTCTTACCTTCACCGTGAATAGTTTTTAACTGTAGCGGCATTACCCACTGCCGCACAACAACCTCGCAGGTTAATGATAGGAAAAAACTGTATGCAATTTTTCTGAACTACGCAAATTTGGTGAATTCCCCTTCTAACCAATAAATTTTTTTTGGGTATCGCTGTTTGACCGCAGGAAGTCGGAATAAGAAGGAGAAGACGCTTTCTGAAGTGGTCTTCGATTCACTGCGATTCTCTAATGCAAATAAAACAACTTTTTTGTACCCTTATTACCTGAAACTGCATTTTTCAGCAAGCGGTTACCACCTTAAGCTGTAGTAAGTTTTTGAATAATTAGGTAGATATTTTATCACGGATTTCAAGTTGCAACCGTTTGGTGGAAACTTTTCAAATGCAAATTTGGTATATAGTGGTAAGCCTTTATGCTGAAATTAAAGCGCATTTAAATTTGTAGGCGACAGTTATGCAGTAAGGAAATGCGCTGTTTTTCAAAAAGAGTTCTTGAAAACAAGGTAAGAACTTAGGCAGATCAAAAACGGTGTCTGCGTGTTTTAATCCTTTGCTGTTACAATTGGACAATAACAGTTCCAACCCCAAATAGGCAACAAACGTATAGAAATTTCAAAAGTTTAAACTCCTTGACTATTTCAGTCGATTATGTCTGATAGTTTGAACAGATTTGAGTGGAAAATAGTTATTTTCGTTAAGCTTTTTTTACTTCGTTGTTCAAGTACAAAATTTTTAATATTATTATGTCTTTAACAAATTAAAATTAGAATTTAAAGCGTGTATATTGCAAAAAAAACCTGTTTTATTTTTATAATAAACAAGAGAAGTTTGTCATTGATAGGGTGATCCTATGTGCAACCGCATAAATGGAGCTTGCGAAAATAGTCTTCCATATTTGACAAAACAATTAAGACAAGCAGATATACGTTAAAAATTCAAAATCTGAAGTTTTTCAAGAACTGAAGCAAATTGATACTGGCTAGATGTCAAGTAATATAACATTTCAGAACTCAATACAATTTAAAATCATCCGCCTGAAAGACCAAATCAAAGAACGAACGAAAGAATACATAGTTGAATTGATATGCTATTACAGTTTTCTTAGCTCCTCAAAACTTTTTAAAAATTGCCTTTAAGATTTACGCATTTAGTTCTAACCAAAAAAAACTTTAGCTGCAACAATTTCCATGAAATTGCACTTCGATATTAGAAGTAACCTATAAAAAAAGTCCGTACAGAAAAATAAACTCGCGAAATCGTAATAAACTTTTAAATTGTAAAATTAAAAACTAGTAGTTATCAAGTTGTCGTTAAAGTTGTCATTGCCTATACAACAGATGCTTGGCCATTTCAACAGATACAGTGAGCAGTACAGTGAGATACGACTTGATGAATTTGACCAGTATTATTTATCACTTTCCAAATTTCTGATGCAGTTAAACAAGTAGTCGCAGGTGGGTAAAGAATAAAAGGTAAAAAATAAAAACAATTAAAGTAATAATAAAGGCACTAAGAAGTGTTGACAATTTTGAAGGAAATAAAAAAAATAGATCTTTGTAGACATTTTGCCACCGGTTTATTTATATCATTAAAGCTTCAGAAGCAACACTGTTTTTTTTTTTTT